GAAATTATAAAAAACATGAAAAGACAAAGAACCAGAGAGAAACATCACAATAAAACCTTAGAAGATGTCTCTCAAATGAGAGAGATTATCTATTTATATTAAATAGATCAATGACCTAGCATCAATAGCCACAAAATCCGTCGCTTGTCATCAGTCAGTATTTCATAGCATTATAATGAAAGTTGCATAACCAAAACGCGAGGTTAGGCCAAGGTCCATTTAATCATTAGTATAGTTTGTTCAATCATGAAAAATATGATTTCTAGTGTATTGCAGATGAGATAAAAGAATGTATAACAATATTATTACCAGCAAAACCAATTTCACTTAACAGATCTTTTAATCAATATATTCCTTTGCATCATCTATAGCTACAATATAATCATTCTCTGTTGAAGACAGGGCTATAATTTCTACCGTTGAGATTTTCAGCTAATACATGTATCATTTATAGTAAAGACAAAAGTAGATGTAGATATTATATTGTCACTATTATCATTAAAATCATAATTAACAAACCATTTTAAACTCCTTTGATTTATTAAACATTAACCCAACATTAGTCGGTCTGTTGTGATATCTTAACAACCATTTAATAGCCTCTCAGTGACACTAACTAGGGGACTTATCACATTTATAATCTTTCTGTGATGTGCTCTGTTTACTATTCTTTCGTACAAACCAGCATTTTGTTTATATGTTCCTTGACTTCCATTTCAATCTTAAAAAAGTAGCGAAGGGGGATGTTGCGTTTTTTAAATTGCAAGTGTGCGATATCATAACAAACAGTATAGTGAAACTTTGAGTCTGGATATCGTTCCCATGAGGACTAAACTTCAGGACTTAATCTAATTTTTTCAATTCCTATTTGAAAAAAGAAAGTAAAGAATTATGATAATTGTGATTATTATTATTATTATTATTATTATTATTATTATTATTATTATTATTAACTACTTGAAAATATCAAATTTTGCAAACAACGGTTGATTGAAGATTTGAATATGAGATAAATATCAAGGTATAACAATTTCATTTATTGATCACCTTAATTCTTAATTCAAGATTCATAACTTAATGTAGTGTTCGATTGAATTCTTCTATTGTATTCAATTTACCGCTCTCGAGTTCTTATTAAACCTATTTAACTAATTAAATTTCATATCTCTATGTGAATTAACTTTAGTTTAACAAAACACTATCCTAACAATTCATATTATGACCATAATAATTAGTATATATATTTCTACACTTTATACTAATTTACCGGATTTTACTATATAGTCTAAATGTCAAACTTACCTCTGGATTCGTAAGAGACTCACATAATCATCAAATTAGTGATCAATTAATTCAATGCATTAAACTCATAGTAAAACCCATGTTCTAAAAGGCGCGCAAATGTGCCGCCTAAGCGCGACGCGGGTCGTAAACGCGTCGAATTCGGGAAATGCGAGAAAAATGCGTTTCCATCTAAAAGGCGTGCCTAGGCGCGCATTATCCCATCTAATCCCTTTTTTTTAATCTCTTTTTTTATGATATATTAAAAAATTTATTTTTTTATACAAAAATATATTTAATGTCTTAAAAATACGAAGCGTATTATGATGCTTATTTTTCGCATTGACACGCCTAAACTTGTGATTCTTGATTCTCAGCCTCGACGCATCGCAAAACATTACGCATTTTAGTACACTGAGTAAAACCAACACATATAAGAATAAATCACGGAAATCTTGAATAGAAAAATAAATGATCACAAGTCGACTATATTGTTTGCCTTAATATAAAAATTANTACTCATAATGTAAAAATAAACACATACAAAAATTATCTCTGATTGCATCACCAGATTATTTGAATAAATCCCCCTTGCAGCCATTTTCGTGTATAAATATATGTTTTACCAAAATTTGACGGAACGTGAATAATCCCTAAATTTCTCGTACAATTATTAATGAATTATTGTACAAAAATTTGGAATTAATTCTTTCTCCCTGCATGTCCGTCCGTTTTCTGTGCGTGTATATCTTCTCTCTTTAATTCTAGCAGTTGTCAAATTTGACTTCAACATAAAAAAACCCAATTTCTTTCTCTTCATTTTCTCCCCGTCCGCGTGTATGTGTATTTAAGCCTTTGTTTTTGACTTCCTCTCTCTTTTCTCCGTTTTTTTTCCTCTTTTTTCTCTCCTCTTTACTCTTTTCCCAGTCATCGTTTTCTTTCTTTTCTGTGCGTTTTCTTTTCCTCCCTTCTGTGTGTGTGTTTAATTTGGGATTCCAATTCAAAGCTACCTTTTTGTGTATATATATTCTCCTTCAAGTCATTCACTTTCAAAAATATGAAATTTGACCTTCAAACTTTACATCCAATAGCTAATTTAGTTCCCGTAATTTGGATTTTACTATTTTTCATTGTTTTGCATTCTTTTCTCCAATTCTTCATCAAATATAAAGTTTTACCTACAAAATGCAATTTAACGTAAATTAGGTAGAATTTTATCCAAAAAACAATAAAATATCATCATTTAGAGCATTGAATAAGTGTAGAAACTACACTTATCACAACCCCAAACTTGAATCTTTATTTGTCCCCAAATAAAATTAAAATCTAACAAACACACAAACATGTCATGCTAAATACCTAATTGGTGCCCAATTAATCAAGTAAAGCAAAAAAGTTTAGCTAGATAACTTGACTCATTATATCGGGATTGAAATCATAATATCAAATCTGTGCACAACTTCAAAATCACAATACAGAAATTAAAATCTACTTTTCTAATGTAAAATCGATACGTGTGTGTGAAGAATTAAGTATAGCATTATGAATTCATAAATTGTTTCAATTATTGACCATCAATGATCAAATATATTCTTTCATCACTTGTAAGATTTACACACCCAAAAACTTATTCTTTTCGCTCTTTTCTAGTGTGTGAATTAAGGTTGGATTTTCTACAATCCTCACCTCTTAGTTTAGGTAAAATTTCGTCAATTGTAGTTCAACATGACAATAAATAAGGATTCACCATCAAATTTGATTGCTTCAATCTCTAAGCTTTAACTAACAATCTCTTATCAAAAGTCAAATTTTCTTGAACAATTGTTTGGGATTTAACCAAAGCATCTGCTGCGCTTCTATTTCATGCATCTACTTTTTTATTTTATTTTATTTGAAGTATTCTCTCCATTAAATTTTTTAAATGACCCATGTAACAAGTTTTTGGTCAATAACTCCCAAGTCAAATGACCATAAGGCACTAAGTTTTTAAAACCCTTACAGACTTAATTGCTTGAGTCATAAAGCCCACGAAGAGAAATTTTCAAATAAAATTTTTTTTATGCTTTGATTAGTGGAATATCCCTCATTTAACAAAAATTCAAGCAAAACAACCTCTAACTTGAGATTTTCACCCAATTCCATCCTATTGACCTTAGACAATCCACACAAGATTTTTTTAATTTCACATAGAATTCCTATTTATCTCAACATCTTCCTACAATTGTCAAATTCCCGTAAACTATTCTAAATTTGGTTCAAGAACACATAAAAAAAAATGAAAATTCATATTTTCTACCGCCAAACTAAAACTAAACATTGTCATCAACGTCTTTAATCCTAAATCCGCATATAAAGGGGTGGGCAAGAAAGTGAAGAAAAGACT